CAATGCATACTAAAATGTCATCGGCAGGTATGGCCTTCAAAGCGCCCGGCGATTCACGTTGAATCTCGTCAATCGACTTAAAGCGGTGGTTATGGAACGGTATGGGTTTCATTTTCGGCGAAAAAGTAACGAAGAATCAATGCAGTATGAGCTGGCGCATTCAGTGTTTTCGGTACCAATCGAGATTTGACGCGTGTGAGGACCAAAATGGAATTGACCAATCCTTTTGAAATTCTAACATCAGCAGCAAGGTCTCTAATTGTAAATAAACGGTTTGCAAGCACCAAATCTTTAATTTTTTTGGACGTGAGCTTCGTCGGTTGAGGTTGAGGTTGATGGTCGACCAGAGGGCTCTTCGTCTTCAGTGCGTCCTCTGCCTTCTTTGAACTGTTTATACCACTTCTAAACATTTCTTTCCGATATAGGAATGTTTACCGAATGCCTACTGCAACATTCTATACGTTTCCGCAAACAACATTTAAGGCAAGTTCTTTGCTCAATTAATTCAGACATTTCAAAAATCGCCGGAATCAGTTTTAACGTCTCCCAAAGCCAAGTGTAACTCAAACACTAATGAATATTTTGTCATCAAATTTCACACAGATGTCAATGGCAGTGCCAGCAACCTAAAAAAGACAAATAAGAATTGAAATTCCTTAATCCCCGTGAATTTTAAATTGAAAATTGGTCTTACTTTTTGGACACAGTAGTATTTATTCTTTAAACTTTGAGCAGTACACACCATAGAAATTTGGGTTTCACGTGTCTGAAGAATTCTGTGGCTTTCTGATTTAGTTAATTTAAATTTTTCTAATTTTTACGAGGAATAAAATTAAACTTAATTATTAACTTGTTCTATTTCTGAGCTGTAACTAAATTTTAGTTTTTTATTTTAATGATGCAATAAAGTTCTGATTTTCGCTAGGCAGATTATTTACTCATCTGCCATATACGAAAGAGAGTGTGCATAACATAAAAATAGTTGTGAAATGTCCTGTTTCATAACTACTTCGTGCATTAATAAACTGAAAAAATGTTTCAGAAGTCGTGCATATTTAACGCAATATATTTGAACCAAAGATTATTAATTTAGGATTATACTACGTTGATGAATAAATTGTTTAGAATTGAGAATGTATAATACTACCGTGTCCAAAAATTAAGACCAATTTTCATTTTAAAATTCCCGAGCTTATGGAATTTAATTTTTTTTTTTTTTTTTTTTTTTTTTTTTTTTTTCTTTTAGATTGCTGGCACTGTCCGTGTGAAATTTGACGTCAAAATATTTATTAGTGTTTAAATTACGCTTGGTTTTCTGAGACGCTAAAACTGATTCCGGCGATTTTTAAAATGTCTGAATTAATTCAGCGAAGAACTTGCATTCGATTTTGTTTACGGAAACGTATAGAATGTTGCAGAATGCATTCGGGGAGCATTCCTGTATCGGAAAGAAAGGTTTAAAAGTGGCATAAACAGCTCAAAGAAGGCAGAGAACGCGTTGTAGACGAAGAGCCCTCTGGTCGACCATCACCCTCAACCGACGAAGCTCACGTCCAAAAAATTAAAGACTTGGTGATTGCAAACCGTCGATTTACAATTAGAGATCTTGCTGATGATGTTGGAATTTCAAAAGTAACGGTCAACATTGAATGTTCCAGCTCACAGTGCATTGATTCTTTGTGACTTTTTCTCCAAAAATGAAACCCATATCGTTCCACAACCCCCGTATTCACACCGTGCGACTTCTGGCTATTCCCTAAACTCAAAAGACATCTCCGGGAACACCGCTTTGAGTCGATTGAGGAGGTTCAGTATGAATCGCAGCGCGCTTTGAAGGTCATCCCTGTCGATGAATTTTTAGCATGCATTGAGGATTGGAAAAAAAGTTGGCAGAAGTACATTGTGTCCGAAGAGGATTACTTTGAAGGCGAGGAAATAAATTTGGAAGAATAAATAAAGAGTTTTTGAAAAACAAAAATAATTGCTCTTACTCTTTGAGCACAGTAGTATTAATTTAGGATTAAAGTAAGTTCATGAACTAATTGTTAAGAATTGAAAATGTATAATATGATTTCAGGGAAAGAAAATTCCGAATAGGAATGTCTTAATATTACTTAGACTCTCCTTAATTAAACTTATTGAGCTATGCAACAAACTACAAAAGAAACAAATTACAAATTTTTTATCTGCAACAACAAAGGAAACAACCAAATAAACTGTAATTCATAAATGGATAATTATTTAATTAATTATTATAATTTATTAATTATAATAAATCATTTTATTTTAAATGAAATTTAAAGTTACACAAAATTTCCTTTAAAAAAATAATTGAATATCTGTACTAAAAAAATTGGTATAAATAATCCAGGAAAGATTTTGTTCAAGATTAATTCTGAAAGATTATTTCCAAAATACAAGTATTTAGCTATGTTTTCAGGTTACAATGAAAATAATCGTGAGAAAGTGGTTGTAAATTGCTGCCAAGATTGCTGTTCGACAATACTTTACTACAAAATAATAAGCCATAAATTTACCATTTAGTATGTGGTTATCTCATCAACATTTCCATTAACATAAGTTGTTTTTACAAAATACAAATTTAAAATTATTCCGCGACAAAAACGAAATGCTTTGTTAAATCTGTAAATTTGTTAAAGCTGAAAAATGTTTGTTTCTAATTTTATTTTATCATTCGTAAACTCATTATAAGTTTTTTTTTATCTGTTCAATTCATAAGTGGATATGCAATATAGCTTCATAGAGTCTGCAATAACTTTTGTTCTTACAATTCGTAAAATCACTAGACGTTATTTTGTTTAATTCATAAGTTAATATTGTAATATAAGTTTATATACTCTGCAATAACAATTGTTCTTGCCATTCTTAAACTCATCAAAAGTTCTTTATCTGTTTAATGTATAAGTTGATACGCCATATAGTTTTATAATCTCTGCGGTAACTTTTATCCTTGCCATTGGAAAACTCATTATTTTACATGTTTAATTCATATTTTTTTTTTATTTCCAATGGCAGATTATGAACAGTTACAGAAAAAAAGGAACAACGAAAATGTAAACAAACATACAACATACAACAAAATAATACAACAAAACATGCTGAAACAGAGTTCATTAATCTAACAATAACGCCAAGTTGTAGATCTTTTAGCCACTAAAAAGTGTTACCAGGTGCACCACGGGGAGGTAGATCTTCTGCTCACCCTGTTTAATTCATAAGTTGATATGCAATATAGTTCATAGACTCTGCAATAACTTTCGTTCTTGTTATTCGTAAATTCATTATAAGTTCTTTATCTGTTTAATTCATAAGTTGATACGCAATATAATTTCATAGATTCTGAAATAACGTTTGTTCTTGAGTACTATTGATATGAGATTAATTAATTGTTGGCTGATATATGTAAGATTTATAAAAATAACATGCTCACAGGAAAAAGTGAAACAATTACAAGTTTGTGGATGCTTGTTTGAAACTGCATGGTCATATTTTATTCATAGTTTTCACATGATAAATGTATAAAGTCTAAAGGACACTTTTAATTACTCGTTCATATCCATTTAAAAAAAAATTATTTATAAAATTTACTGTATGAAAAATGCTAATGAATAACTGATACATCTTCATAATAATGTGGTTATTTTTTGCTCTTTTAAGACAAACTCGTGTTAGATTATAAAATCTTATTGTTATTAATATATTATCTATATTGAAAGATCTTTTTTGTTGTAGTCTACAAAGATTTCCGTCTTTGTACTTCTAATACAAGTTAAAAAAATTTTACCACTCATTCATGGTAATTAATCTTCACAAATAAAATAATTTAAAAGTAATTTGTAAGCATTGTGAGCTCGTAGTTTTCTTAAGGAATTTTTTATTTATTTTATATCACTAGCATTTAATTGTAATACTTTATTAGTAATTAGTAAAAACATTTCATAAGGGAAAAGAAAAAAAATTGTATAAGAATTGCCTATAAAACATAATTAAACATTATATGGCTTCATATTAAACAGCATACAAATAAATAAATGGCACAAAAAAATTTTTTAGTGCTTTATTAAAAATTTCACAATCATGGAAGATTATAAATATTGCTTACAAAATTTTTTATCCGAAATTTTTTTTTTGTAATATTAACAAGCAAAATATTATCAACAAAAATTAATGACAAACTACATTAGCACTTAGAATATACAACACCACAAGTATAAATATTTTGCATCATAAATTGTATTAGTGAAGCTAACTTTCTACAGAATGAAATGAAAGACGTATCATAAAATAATGGTCTAAAAGTACGGATCATAAAAAAACTCATCAATGTAACATACAGTTGACACAGCCATGTTACAAATATTTCTGTGAGAACTGGGATATAAGTTTCATATCTTCTTTGTTACTAGAATTCACACATAAAACTATTGTAGATAGGATTTAACCATTTTTGAAATCGCTCTAATATAAACCATATATATCTTTTTTTATTAATTTTGTATTTTTTAACCTATTTTTCAAAACAGACTTTCGTCTTGTGACGTTTTTTATGTTATATGGTGAGAGAAAGGCTCCTTAATTAATTGATGATCAACGAATGACCTTAGAATTGATGACTCTAACATTTACATTTTTCTTTATTTGTATATACTTTCGCCATTCTTTCAGTGTCAATACCCACTCTCCTTCACCTACTTACATTTACAGTTATATAATAGAGCCAACGGCCGTACCATGCTGAATATACCGGTTCTCGTTAAGGCTCGTTCCCACCGAGGCGAGAGACGTGAAGATGCAAGAGGCAAGCGACCAAATTTTTTCGACCCCTTCACAGCGAAACGTCAGAAATAGCATTACGCATAGTGAAAAACCGCTTGAAGTTGAAAGTTGGGCTACTCCACGCGGCGAACTGCAAACCGGTTTCAGGCGACCGCGGTGAGATCAAATTTTGGTCGCTTGCATCTTGTCGCCTTGGTGAGCACGAGCCTTTTAGATCACCGAAGTTAAGCATCATTGGGCGCGGTCAGTACTTGGGTGGGTGACCACCTGGGAACACTGCGTGCCGTTGGCAAATTTGGGACCTGAATGGCCGAGTGTCTAGCACTCTGGCGCTCGGTGCCACAGGTTTCGGGTTCGAATCCCGGCGGTGCCATGGATGTTTGTAGTGGTTCGGAATCCACTTTAAGCTGTAGGTCCCAGTCTCCTATGACTGTAAGAGCGTCACGGAGCCAAAGTCAGGCTTCTACCTACGGGTGCTCCATCACAACAGAAGCTGCTTCCTTCCCCTTCAATCATGAGTCCATATGGGCTCGTGGGCTTGGCCAGCCAAGTGGGATAAGAAACAACAACAACAACAGTTATATAATACATACTTAAAATTTATACAGATGGTTCTGTCATAGGCATACCAAACAATATATAAATCTCTACACATATAAAAGACATTTTGTAAAAAATAATTTTTTTATTTTCCATGGATTATTAAAAATTATTCAACTTATTTTTAAAAGTACTTTTATGACTATTCAAATGGTTTCCTTAAAGCCAAAATATGTTCCAAGCTAATTAGACATCTTTTTTTTTGCCTGCTGATTTCATAAATTTAATTTCCATCACCTTTACTTGCATTCCCACTTCGGAATGAATAGTCTTTACATTGTGGTAAAAATACTAATTATGTGTACTTTGTAAGAAATCCTTGACAAATGAAAAAGTTAATTTTCATTATTATTTTTAATAACTAAATATTTTACTTATTTTAAAAGTGTATGTCAATTCCTTTTAATTATTCAAATTGAATTAAATCTGTACCTCATTCTTATCTGCCATAAGCAAAAGATAGATAAATTTGTTAATTAGATCATGGCAGATCACGTAGCATATATATATAACAGAAGAAAGGTAATTTCTCGTCCAACAGTAGAATGATTTTTATGTCCTCCATCTATAGTAGTGACGAAACTATACTAAACAATATTATGTTGTTGTTGTTGTTGTTTCTTATCCCACTTGGCTGGCCAAGTCCACGAGCCCATACGTGCTCATGATTGAAGGGGAAGGAAGCAGCTTCTGTTGTGATGGAGCACCCGTAGGTAGAAGCCTGACTTTGGCTCCGTGACGCTCTTACAGTCATAGGAGACTGGGACCTACAGCTTAAAGTGGATTCCGAACCACTACAAACATCCATGGCACCGCCGGGATTCGAACCCGAAACCTGTGGCACCGAGCGCCAGAGCGCTAGACACTCGGCCATTCAGGTCCCAAATTTGCCAACGGCACGCGGTGTTCCCAGGTGGTCACCCTCCCAAGTACTGACCGCGCCCAATGATGCTTGACTTCGGTGTTCTAACGAGAACCGGTATAGTCATCATGGTACGGCCGTTGGCTAAACAATATTATAAACTATAGTAGTGATGAAATATCTGCCTTTCATATTAGTTTACGTTTTCTCAATGATCTTGAAGACATACATAAAAAATGTATTAGAGCAGATAAACTTTTTTTGACATCAACTTATAATATATTTATATATTATAAGTTGTATAATAAATTTTTAATATATATAAGTTGTTAATATATGTATACATAAGTTCATGTCAGAAAAAGAGTTGAGTTGTTATACTACATTTTCTTTGTATGTCCTCCAGATCATTGAGAAAACGTAAACTAATATCAAAAACAGATATTTCGTCACTATTGTAGCTTAATAATGGATGACATAAAAATTCTTATTTTGGACTAGAAATAACATTTCGAATGTTTTTCTTCGCTTGGCACAGCATGAGGAAGTCGTTCCTCACTAAATGGAACGATTTCCTACTGACATTGCATTATTTATTTTCCTGTAGAAAATTCTCACCACTATTTGCAGCTCATTAGTTTTATAAGCAAAAAAAGATTCGATCAATCAAATGGCGATTCATTCTGTTGTAATACTATTAATTATTCAACCATCAACAAGTTTAAATTGCTTAGGTATGCTGAACTATAAGCTTATATTATAAACTAATAATACTATTTCGTATTGTCTTAAAATATTCAGTTTGAAGTGAGATGAAGTGAAGGTGGATGTAATAAATGTATGTACCTTCTTAAAATGTATATTAATTCTATAATAAAATATTAATTCTATTTCGTATTGTTTTAAAATTAATTAGCTCTAATAAATTTAATTAATTCTTTTTCATAGAGTAATACTAATAATTATAAGTAACTAATTTAAGTAATACTACACTGAAGTGACAAAAGTCATGGGATACCTCTTAATATCGTGTCGGCCCTCCTTTCGCCCGGCGAAGTGCAGCAACTCGGCGTGGCATGGACTCAACAAGTCGTTGGAAGTCTTCTGCAGGAATATTGAGCCATGCTGTCTCGATAGACGTTCATAATTGTGAAAGCGTTGATGGTGCAGGATTTTGGGCACGAACAGACCTCTCGATGATGTCCCATAAATGCTCGATGGGATTCATGTCGGGCGATCTAGGTGGCCAGATCGTTCATTGGAATTGTCCAGAATGTTCTTCAAACCAATCGCGAACAGTTGTGGCCCGGTGACATGGCGCATTGTCATCCATAAAAATCCCATCGTTGTTTGGGTACATGAAGTCCATGAATGGCTGCAAGTGATCTCCAAGTAGCTGAACATAAGCATTTCCAGTCAATGTTCGGTCCAGTTGCACCAGAGGACCAAGTCCATGCCATGAAAAAACAGCCCACACCATTACGGAGCCACCACCAGCTTGAACAGTGCCTTGCTGACAGTTTGGGTCCATGGCTTCGTGGGGTCTGCGCCACACTCGAACCCTACCATCAGCTCTTACCAACTGAAATCGTGACTCATCGGACTAGGCCAAGGTTTTCCATTCATCTAGGGACCAACCGATATGCTCACGTGCCCACGAGAGTCGCTGCAAGCGATGGCGTTCTGTCAGTAAAGGCACTCGAGTCGGTCTTCTGCTGGAATAGCCCAAGAAAGCCAAATTTCTCCGCACAGTTCTAACAGACAAGTCCCTTGTACGTCCCACATTGATTTCTGCGGTTATTTGACGCAGTGTTGCTTGTCTGTTAGAATTTACGACTCTTTGCAGACGTCGCCGGTCTCGGTCGTTAAGTGCAGGCGGTCGACCACTGCGCTGTCCATGGTGGGATGTTATACCTGAAATTTCATACTCTCGGCACACTCTTGACACAGTGGATCTGGGAATGTTGAATTCCCTAACGATTTCCGAAATGGCATGACCCATGCGTCTAGCTCCAACTAACATTCCGCGTTCAAAGTCTGTTAATTCCCGTCGTGCGGTCATCATCACGTCAAAACCTCTTCACATGAATAACTTGAACAGAAATGAAAGCTCTGCGAAAGCACTGTGCATTTATACCTGTTCTACGCGATGCTACTGCCATCTGAAAATTTGCATATTGCAATCCCATGACTTTTGTCACTTCAGTGTATATTACAACTATACGTTTGATAAATACAACAGTTAGTGGTTTCCTAAGAATCTTTCATGTATAATTACCCCATACTGTGTGTTATAAGAGAAAAACTTGGAATATTCTCACAAGGTAATCCGATTACCAATGAAAGAATGCCACGCTTACCATCAATACTACTTTATGATTAGTATTATCTATATCAATTGATTTTAAATAATACTTTTAAATATTATAAATTGGCTAAATAAAACAGTCACTCTTATCTAAGAATCTTAATAATTTTTTTTACCTTTAATCTGTTAGCATTTTTGTAAACGAATATAGCAGTTGTGGAAAAAAAGAGGAATGAATGATCGTTAGAGCGCGCTGCGACGCCAAGTTAATTGGGCGAAAGAAGTGCGAGTCTGAGAGAGCGCTTGGAAAGCAAGAGAGAGAGAGGTAATCTTTGAAGTGTGAGAGGCATTTGAGATTAGAATGTGTGGTATTAATATTAACTTGTAAATACTGTACAAAGTTTAAATATTCCTAGTATGTGTAATAAAATAGTCAATAATTAATTCAAGACAGATGATTTTATTTGAACCACCGACAACTTAAACATTTGTGAACAACTAAAAGAACCCGTAGGTTTGGCGAATTCATTTCTTCTACAGTGTTTTTCGCAGTATACTACTGTGCCCAAAATGTAAGACTATTTTTTTTTCTGAACCTCTTTATTTATTCTTCCAAATTTATTTCATCGCCTTCAAAGTAATCCCCTCCGGACACAATGCACTTATATGACAACGTATTTTCCAATCCTCAACGCATGCTAAAAAGTTATCGGCAGGGATGACCTTCAAAGAGCGCGGTGATTCATGTTGAATCTCTTCAATCGACTCGAAACGGTGCCCCCGGAGTGGTCTTTTGAGTTTAGGGAATAGCCAGAAGTCCCACGGTGTGAATACGCTGGTTGTAGGAAGATAAAAAACGTGACATTTTTGGCGAAAAGGTCACGAAGAATCATTGCAATGTAAGCTGGCGCATGTTTTCGGTACCAATCGAGATTTGACGCGTTTGCGGCCCAAAATGAAGTTGACCGATTAAAATTCCAAAATCACCAGCAAGGTCTCTAATTGTAAATCGATGGTTTGCAAGCAGCAGATCTTTAATTTTTTGGACGTGAGCTTCACCGGTTGAGGTTGACGGTCGACCAGAGGACTCTTCGTCTTCAACGCGTTCTCTGCCGTTCTCTGTAACTGTTTATACCACTTCTAAACATTTCTTTGCGATATAGGAATGCTCACTGAATGATTTCTGCAACATTTTATACGCGTCCGAAACAAAATTTAATGCAAGTTCTTTGTTAACTTAATTCAGACATTTCAAAAATCACAGGACTCAGTTTTAGCGTCTCACAAAGCCAAGAAAAACTCAAACACTAATGAATATTTTGACGCCAAATTTCACACAGATGTCAAAAACAGTGCCAACGACCTGAAAAAAAAAAAAAAAAAAGTTGAAATTCCATAAGCCACGGGAATTTTAAATTGAAATCTGGCTTTACTTTTTGGAGACAGTAGTAAAGCTTCATTAGTTTTTAAAATAAAATGAAAACTAATGCAATTAAAAGGTCTCCTTTATTTATTATA